TCTCAGCCAGTGACTTGTGTCTGTCCTTCTCCAGACAGCCTTGTGGGTCTGCTGAGGCAGTAATTAAAACATGACGCTATCCAGTTTCTCTTTCCCAGCCCAGTGTAGTCCCTGTGCCCTCTGCTTTCTGATATCAGCGGCCTAGCTTCCTTCCCTTTTTTTTTTTTTTCCGAGAGAGAATTTTTTAATATTTATTTTTTAGTTTTCGGCGGACACAACATCTTTATTTGTATGTGGTGCTGAGGATTGAACCCGGGCTGCATGCATGCCAGGCCAGCGCTCTACCGCTTGAGCCACATCCCCAGCCCTAGCTTCCTTCCTCTTCAAGTAACTTTTGCTTCCTGCCAGCACTGGTCCAGGATGGCTTCCTGAGATGGGTGCGTCTCCCTGTGGCCACCTCTAGCCCCTGGCAGTAGAGGAGGAGTCCTGGCTCAAAATTTGTAAACCTTGGGCTGGGACTGAGGCTCAGTGGTAGCACACTTGCCCAGCATGTGTGAGGCACTGAGTTTGATTCTCAGTACCACATATAAATAAATAAATAAAACAAAGTTCCACCAACAACTGAAAAAAACAACCAGCAACTTTGTAAACCTTGATCTCAGGGGTTCCTTCTGCACAACTGTTGCAATCTCTTCTGACCTCTGGTTCAGTTGCTCTGTCTGAAAAAAGGTATGAAGTCTGGCCCTGCCAAGCTTCCTGTGGTTGGCCTGGGCATTGATGGGTGATGGGGTAATGCAGCAATTGCTGCTTGGCTGCTCCTGGCTGGGTTCTGTGGTACTGGGCACAACTTGATCACAGTGTCTTCATCACCAAGGAGTACACAGGAAGGTAGACCAGTCAGTGAGGAATAGGTCTCACCCTGGCAGAGACTTGCCCAGAGCCAGGGAGAGGAGATAGGCATCAGTGCTTCTGCATGGAGGGCCAGGAAGCAGCATGTCACAGGAACTCAGATCTGCAATTCTGAAAGGTCTCTGCAGCTGGTGGGGGGGTATGGAACATGGAGATTATCAGACAAGTTGGGAATACTTGTAACTGACCAAGTCAGTGGCCAGTTTAGACCCTGGTCTATACCAGTCATGCCAGACTGCCTGGGTGCTTGGTTGTACATGGTGCAAAAGAGCGGGTGCAGAGCCTGCTCCAGAATTGTAGAGTCCTGGTGTTTCTGGTGCCCAGTAGTTTCACAGCACCCCTAGGCTAAAGAAAACTTTTATAGTCTGTAGATTGACCGGCTCAGACAGCATCACAGTAGACTGTGTATTCTGACTAGTGGTATGTTTCCTGGGAACAGCTAAAATGCTCCCGAGGTTTGGTGAGGAGCCTCCTAGCTGTGGGCTGGTGAAGAAGCAGCACACGCATTAGGAAGCCGACTGCATGACTTAATTACTGTCTTGGTCAAGGAGACATATTGGGTCAGCAGGTCTGGGCTTGGACATCTGAGTGGATGATGGGGACATCAGTGAGGAAGCATGTGACCACATCCCATCTGGGGATGTGGCCATGACCTGAACTGCAGGAGATTTTTTTTCTTTTCCTTTTATTTAGAGAGAGAGAGAGAGAGAGAGAGAGAGAGAGAGATTTTTAATATTTATTTTTTAGTTTTTGGTGGATACAACACCTTTATTTTATTTTTATGTGGTGCTGAGGATTGAACCCAGCGCCCTGCACATGCCAGGCAAGCGTGCTACTGCTTGAGCCACATCCCCAGCGCCCAGGAGATTTTCTTCATTGGTGTTGCCTCACTGGTCCTCATCTTGCTGTGCTAATGAGATGTCGGGTCTAGTGACTGGATCTCATTAGCATGTTCCCAGGGCCACATACAGATCTTCTGTCATCACATGAGCCCCCACACCAAAAACATGGGTCTCTGCCACTCTTCTCGCCTTGTGCCAAATCTGGACAAAAGAGTGCCTCCTGGCGGCTGGCCTGCTGTGCCACAGTACTGAGTACGCGTAACAGCCACGCTTCTTAATACCATGTTGAGCAGACTCGAAGCCCGTTGGACCTGTGTGCAGGGGACAGGTGGGCTAGCCTGGGACCTCTGTGGAGGAGGGGCTACCATAGGGTGCGGGAAGGGTCCAGTGTACCCTCACTTCCAGAAGCTCTCTGGTGACCTTGGGGAGATGGTGTGCCCAAAGGCCACCAGGTGGAGGGAGAATTGGAGCTGGTGTTTTGGGGTGCCATCCTATTTTCTTTTCTGCAGATGGGCAAGGTGTGGGATGACCTGAAGCCGAAGCTCAGTTGCCTCTTCGCTGGACCACACAATGCGCTGACGCCACCACGATCCCCGCAGGACGGCGTGTGTCCTCACTAGTGCCTGAGGCTGCGGCACAGTTCCCTGCGGCCTCACTAAAGCGTCTTTCCAAATGGTGTGTCCCTGCCAATTCCCTTCAGGTGGCCACTCCCGCCCGTGGTGCCCTGGTGGGTGAAAGGGAACATCCATCTGAGCCCATGGGTGGGGCTGGTGGTTTTTCTCTTCCCTGGGTGGGAGGTCTATGGCCCCCTGACCCCTGCCCATCCTGCCCTGTGGCTGCTAGTCCGGTGCTGAGAATTCGGGTTCCTCACGACACCCAGGGCCAGGGTTGCTGAGGCTCATAATTCCTGGAGGAGTGTGGAGGAGGCTCTAGGTGCTAAAACAGTCCAGAGGGCTGGCCTGGGGCAGGGGTCAGCTGAGCAGGGCAGAAGGGAGGACAGGACTGCCCCATGACCTTTGGGTGACCAAATGGCCAGTCTGTCAGAGGTCAGAACGTTGACCAGGGTCTGCAGACATTCCAGCCTGGATGCCTGCTGGTGTAGGTTGCTGGACATAGTGTTTGATGTTCTAGGGGACAGCTGAGGCCTGGTCTGGGGTCAGGTGTCCCTAAGCTGCCCTCTCCACATGGGTACACTGTGATCCTGAGTATAAGACAAAGGCACATTGAGATCTTGGGAGATGAATGTGGAGGTTTCTGTCTGAGGGCTAGAAATTGGTCTGTCCTTTTCCTTGTTTGGGGGCAGCCAGTGTTGGACTCCATGTTGTGGGGCTCTGAGGCTTTAGGGGTGGGCAGGGACAGGTGTAGGGGAATGTGTTGCCTTCAGCTGGGGTGTTGGGGGGAGCATCCATGTGAGTGCGCTTAATTCCTTTTAAAACCATTTCCTTCTTTTGGGCAACTGCAACCCCTCCAGCCCTGCTATTCCAGGAGACTGGCGGGCTGAGGCCACTTCTCTCTTCAGGCTGAAGAAAGCCACTCTCAGAGCTCTGGGGTCAGACCTGGATTGCTGCTGCTCACACCCCTTCTGTGGTGAACATGGAGCCACCTTTGAGCTCCCTGTCTTAGTAACCCAGGGAGAGATGCGGAAGAGGGTCTGGTGGTCTATAGTTCCTTCCAGGGATGCCTCTTAGATACTGAGGGGCAGGACTTGACCTCCTTGGATGTCCATGCAGCTTGCAGGCCTGGAACACAGAGCCCCAGCACACTGCATACCCTGAGGGTGGGAAGTTATTCTACCTGCGCCAGAGGATATAGTGCTGTGATTGGTGGCAGTGGGGATTTGACTCTGTCCCTGCTGTGTAGTCTGTCCCTGCTTCCCTGTAACCTCCCTCTATGGAAACAAGTCTTGTTTGCTGTGTGGACCTGTGTCACTTGCAGGACTTATTCCCTGGCACCAAGACACTTGAGCTGTAACACCTGGCCCTGTTTGTGCTGAGCAGGCCCCAATTTGGGAGCCTGGCCTGTCTCGTTGTGGGACCAAAGTCTATGGGGAATTGTGGGCATGGGGCTGGGGGCCCGAGTCTCTAGACTGGGCAAGACTGCACTCCTCAAGTAGCCATTGGGACTTCTGGCCCCAAGCCTTCAGGATGGACTGTTCTGAAAAGAGCTTCACTGCCAGGGACCCTGGGATGAGTCCTGGTCACATTCCTGGTGCCTCCTGCTATGGAAGGAGGTCTCAGGGTCCTTATATTGTGTTATGGAAATGGGGGCCTAGGGGAGGACAGCCTGTCTGCTCTGCTTCGGTGCTTGTGGCTCAGGAGCCAGGGTGTGGGGCTCTTCCTGCATGGCTGACAGTTCAGTTTGGATGGAGTTCCCTTCCTTCACCTCTCCCACCCAAGGGGAAGATCAGTGGGGTGGGGGGTACTTGCTAGACAGCAGAGGCCACTGTTTCTCACACTGGCACTTCCTGGTCCTGGGCAGAAGTGCTCCCACCTGGGGCAGGATTGGCTACTCCCAGCTCTGGGGTGGAGTCCCTGTGGTGGCAAAGGGACCAAGGGTCCCTCTACCCTTCCCTAACTGTCCTGCTGCCTCAACCTGCGTGCCACGCCGTGGCCATGCCTGGTCCGTGGAAGGATGGTTGGGTGTAATCCTGGGCAAGGGAGGCTGAGTGGGATCTTGGCTGCCACCTTCAGTTTGGACAGCCTGCGTGGCCAGCGGGAAGGCGACTGCAGAGCAGCAGCAAGTAGAACGTTCTGTCAGGTCTACCCTGCTCCATCCAGGGCACTCAGTGACAAGGGGCTAGGCTGCCCAGGCCATGCAGGAAGGGAAGACGGGCTGTAGGTCGCAATGGGGACACCTGGGACTCTGAGCCCATGAATTCAGGATTGTTCTTAGTGTCCAGGTCTTTTTCTTGTGCTTTGCGTGAGCCGGTCCTATGTATGAAGCACTTTACTAGCTGCAGGAATCAGTTACTACTACACCCAATAAACTGGAACTGTTTATAGGTGACCTGTGTTTTGTGGTTTTATCAACAAACCTGAATAGTTGCTCAATGTGTCTGAAAGTCCTACTGCTTTGTGCAGTGGTGATCCAACTCTCCTTCCTGGTGGTCCTAAAGGAGAAAGCAAATGGCCTACCCTCCCAGAGCAGTGACTGCCTCAGTGTCCCCCACTGTAGAATGGGTGGTAACAGAACAATATGTTCTCGCCTGCCTGTGGCCTGCACGCTGGGTAGATGCCAGGCCCTCCTTTGTCCCTGTCTCCTCTGCCTAGCATGGTGGAAGTGGCCCAAGCTGCGGCCAGGGGAAGACTATTCAAAGGTGAAGCCCTTTATTTTCCTTACCAAACAGAAAAAATAAGCCCAACTGTTGGTGCCATGAATGTGGCTGAACTGGCAACTCCAGCTTGGTGCTAGATTTCTTCTACCTCGCGCAGTGAGAAGTCCAGGATGGTGTCCTGACCCTGGAACTTGAAGTACCCCTGGAACTTCTTCTTTTGAAGCAGGAGTGGGAACCAGTACCTGTCGTCAGGCCACATGTCACCAAAGGGGATCTGGTCCAGTTGGAACCACTGAGGGCGCATTTCTGTACCGAGGGGCAGAGAGGAAGAGCACCAGTGTCAAGGCAGGGCTGGCCTGGCCTGTGAGGAGCTACCTGCACTAACTTATTTTTGTGGTGCTGGGAACTGAACCCAGGGGCACTCTACTGCTGACCACGTCCCTGGCCCTTCTTACTTTTTCTTTTTTTAAATATTTATTTTTTAGTTGTAGTTGGACACAAATCCTCATTTCACTTATTTATTTTTATGTGGTGCTGAGTATCGAACCCAGGGTCTTGTGTGTGCAAGGCGAGTGCTCTACCGCTGAGTCACAATCTCAGCCCCTTACTTTTTATTTTGAGGCAGTCTCTCACTATGTTGCCCAGCTGTCCTTGAACTTGCAATCGTCCTGCCTCAGTCTCCCAAATTGCTGATTAAGTCATGCTCCACCGCCCCCAGCTTGCACAGCAGTGCTGTGTGAGGAATTTACTTTTATACTTAATCCTCATGACTGTTCTTCCTCTTTTATGGATCAGGAAAAAGGGGTTCAGAGCTGCAGCCTGCTGAGCTGTGGTGCCTGAGTAGCCAGGGTTTTAAGGCACAGACTGTTCAGTGCCTCCCTGTGAGATGGGGACGGTGGGCGGGCCTGAGGCCCACATTTGGCTGCGCTTTCTCCTAGCCAACTGTGTGGAACTGGATGTGCTTCCTTTCCTTCTGTGGTGGGGAGCGGATACCCCAAGGCTCACCGTCGCTCTCCAGGGGCGTCCCCTGCACACTGTCAGTACAGAAGATGTGCACATCCATCAGCTCGGGGGTGCCCACGAACTCAAACTCAATGTGGCCCACCTTGTGCAGCGTGTTCACTGTCAGACCACTCTCCTCTTGCAGCTCCCTGTAGGCAGAGGAGACAGGAGGAGGATGGAGCGTCACAGCACGATGACCACAGGCCAAAGGGGAGCCCAGAGGTGGGGTGCATGGGCTGCACACCCCAGGAGGCTGCCATCAGGTGTTAATAGTCCAAACCTGACCCAGCCTTGGAATTAACTTGAACTTGAAAAAATTTGGGATTTGTGGTACCTGCCTGTCGTCCCACAGTCTCAGGAAGTTGACGCAAGAGGATCACTTGTGCCTGGGAGTTAACAGACCAGTCTGGGCAACATGATGATATCCCATCTCAAAAACCAACAATGAAAATCCCCTGGAATTTTGTTCAGAGGCTCTGGGGAGGGTGTGACCAGCCCTCTGCAGAGGACCACCCAGGATATGAGTCTCATGAGTGGATTGCAGGGCAGAAGTTTGTCCTCCCCAGGCCCACACTTCCCCTTTCCTCAGACTCAGTCCATTCCCTCTTCTGTGTCGGAACTTTGGACCCCCTGGCATGGGCATGAGGACACAGGAGCCCCTTGGCTCTGGGCCTTCTCCTAAGAATGTGCTTCCAGCCTCACACCCTTACTGAGACCACAGGACCATAGGCCGATAGTCTCTCCTGAAGGAGGGGTTGTCACTTTCAGTTCTGCCATGGAGCCAACTCCTCCGGGAAGATCCTATAGGACAAATCTCTTGGCTTGCGTTCTGGGGCCTTTGTATTGTCTTCTCAGGACACTTTCCCAGCAGCTCAGCCAGCTGTGCCTGGAGGTGTGAGGAGCTCATCTAACATGGAACAAGTCTCTCTGTTCCACTGGACAGAACCTGAATGCTTCCCCTGAGGGTCTGGTGCTGCTGCTAATTTAAAAGTATTTTAAAACCACCTGTCTACTGTACACAGTCCTGGAAATGGAAGACTCATGACCCTAACACCCAGCAAGACTTGTGTTGCTGTTTCAGGGACTTCCCTTGAGTCTCTCCCTATATATCCTGGAACCGAGCAGAGTTACTGCACGCAGTCTACCTTGCACTTTCCACCCAGCAAGCAAGGAGCATGTAATAGTCTGCCCTAGAGGAGCCTGTCTAGTTTTTAAACTGCTGCTGTTACATAAGAGTAAACATTTGAGTTCAACTTTGGGTCATTATGGAAAATGCTGTGCTGAGCACCCAGGTCTGCACACCTTGTACCATCAACGTGTACCCAAGTGCACACAGTGCTCATGCCCTCCAGCAGGCGCTCCCTAAGACCTGCTCTGTGCTTGGGACCTTTAGGACATACAAAGCTGAGTTCCACTGGCCCCTCCTGTCGTGGAGGCCTTTCTTCCCACGGCCCTGGAGTTACTTTTGTTTCTATAACAGTAGTCTGACCATTTATAGCTGGAAGAAAGTCTTAGCTTTGATCTCCAAGTTGTGCTGGGAATACACTGCCATCTGTAGTAGGCAGTCAGGGACCCACTCTGTTCATTTGCAAACACATACACATTAGGTTAAGTGGTCCTCTGCTGTTCCTGAAAAGACATTGCCTTTTGCTGCCAATTCATATACACAGTCCAGAAATTGACACATTCATTGAGATGGTTAATTAAAACTGGACTGGATCTTTAAAAATGAGTGTTTTCACTTGGGGTGTGTGCGCAGCGGCTCCCCAATTAAATGTAATGGAACTGCAATAGGGCCTCACCCACCTCTCTGGCAGCAGACTGCCAGTTCTCCCTTTAAAAAGCATCACCGGCTGATGTAATGTTTTGACTGATTTTGGTTAATCCTCCCCCAGTCTGTGGCAGTGCACGCAGTGTCAGTAATCCTGGTGACAGAGCTGGAGCTCCATTTCACAAGCTGAGATAATTAGACAGATGAAGACGACCCTGTTAGTTTTGCTAAAGAGTCTGCTCGTGTCTGTGATGCAGACGGCAGATGGAGAACAGGATGAGCAATGAATTAGACGTAAACACGGAGCAGAAAGTGTGCTCTATGGTACGGGAGGTGGGGGTGGAAGGCCCCAGGACTTGGCATTAGTGGTTCCCTGGCTGCTAAGGTAGTGTCATTGGGTGCTGACTAGAAAAACATGGCTCATGGGCTGGGATTGTGGCTCAGCGGTAGAGCACTCGCCTAGCACAGGCGGGATCCTCAGCACCACATAAAAATAAAGGCATTGTGTTGTGTTCATCTACACCTTGGGCTCAGACCTGAGGCCAAAGGCACTCAAAGTCCCCAGAGCCTGCATGGCCCCCAGGCAGAGGAGGCCCTGGGTGATACTAGATGTGATATTTATGGCTCCCTATCAGGACTGCCACTGTGAGAATAGATAAGTACTCGTGCCTGCCCCCTGCGGGCGAAGAGGGGAACATGTTCCTGGCTCTGGGACAGTCCTGAGGGAATAGGACAGGCAGTGTGTGCAGGAAGCACACAGAATTTTTGGGAGAGGCAGCCGCCAGGCACAGAAGTCTTTCAAGGAGCCAGCTCCATTCAGATGCCCAGGTCTCAGCCTGCATGGCTCCAGAGCATCCTGACTCTCACATGCATTTGAATGTCGGAGGGGCTGTGCACTTTGCTCTCCTGCATGCCCCTCTCACCCCACAGGCAGGGATGGGGCATGAGGGTCTGTCAGATGGTGTCCCTTCCTTTGACTGCATTGTGCACACTGCCTTCTGGGCTGGTGCCCAGAGAGAAACTGCGAGAAACTGCCCATAGCTAACCAGGGGCTCTAAGGAACCACATGGTCCACAGGGCTGATGGGTCTAAACTGGGCAGTGTGTGCCCCTTGATGCTGAGCCTCTGACCTTAGTCCAAGGTTGAGGCTAGTCCCCACCTTAGTGGAGGTCCCTGAAGCATGGAAACCACTCCTATTCTGTGGCCGCAGGGAGGATGTTCTCTGCAGGAGCCGCTGCCTCCAGAGGCACTGCACACTGCTGTGGATGCCAAGTTAGGGAAAAGTGCTGGGGCAGCTGGGCCCAGGCGAGTCCTGGTCAGAGCAGCTCTGGTGCAGCTCCTGGGGCAGGCCCAGAGTGCAAATTATTATGATCCTCTCAGGATTCTAAGACAACTTCCTCCACAGTGACACTGGAAAGTGACCCATGTTAGAGGGTAAGTTGGTCTGAACAATGACACTCACTTATAGTGGGATCAGGATGCCAAGGAACATGGCCATGGGCTTGCAGGCTGGGTCCCCCATTGCTGGGTCCCCCACTACAGGGCCAGCTGGCATCCAGTCAGCTTTGCTAAGCATGTACATCTGCCCACCTTCCTGCTGCTTAGGGGAGGCCTGCCCTATGCCAGGCTCCATGTGGTGGAAAGAAAGCTGATGTGGTTTCACATTGCATTATCTTTCACTTGTGACAAAAGTAACGGCAGTGCAAGGGACATGGTCTTTCCAGGAAGTAAGGTGCTGTCTAGAGAGCTTTATGGGAAAACCTCAGTTTTTTTTTTAAGCTACAGATGGACATAACACCTTCATTCATTCATTCATTCATTCATTCAATGTGGTGCTAAGGATCAAACCCAGTGCCTCACACGTTCTGGGCAAGCGCTCTACCACTGAGATACAACCCCAGCCCCAAACCCAGTCTTAAACCCCTGCCTAATCATTTGTAAAAACTGAATTCTGCATGGATTGTAGACTTAAGTTTCTAAAATTTTTAGGAGAAAACTTAGATCTGACCGTCTTCCTAGGCTTGGGATAGGCAGATTCCCTCAAAGGATATAAACAATTCTAACCATAAAGAAAATATATGGGGCCTAGTTGTAGCTCAGTGGTAAAGTGCTTACCTCACATGTGTGAAGCACTGGGTTTGATCCTCAACATCACGTAAAAATAAAAAAAGATACTGTTGTTCACCTACAACTAAATAAGTATTAAAAAAATCTAGAGACTAGTATCAACAGTATTAAAAAAAAGAATATATGTGAATTGCATTAAAGTGATGAACCTCTATTTATTAAAATATCATTAAGAATCAAGGGCTGGGGCTATGGCTCAGTGGTAGAGTGCTTGTCTTGCACAGTTGAGGCATTGGGTTCGATCCTCAGCACCACATAAAAATAAATAAAATGGAGGTATTGTGTCCATCTACAACTAAAAATATTTTAAAAATTATTAAGGAGCAAGCTACAGAGTAGAGGATATTGGCAACACACCCAGCTGACAACTGACACCCAAAGTATAGAATGAAGTTGGGTGTAGTGGCCACACCTGTCACCCCAGCTACTTGGGAGGCTGAAGCAGGGGAATTACAAGTTTGAGGCCAGCAAGGGAACTTAGTGAGACCCTGTTTCAAAATAAAAAAGGGCTGGGGATGTAGTTCAGTGGTAGAGCACACTGGGTTTAATACACTACCAAAAAAATAGTGTATAATGAACTGAAAATCAAGAAAAAAGCAACCCAATTAAAGAAGAGTAGAAGGCCTGAGTAGACTCTGGAGGATGTCAGTGGTGGCAGATGCTCAAAAGGTGCTTAACTTCATCTCTCACAGTTAAGGGCAAACTAAACCCACAACGGGAGGTCACCACGTTTGCCAGCATGGCTGAAAGAAATACCAAGTGTTGCCGAGGACTCAGGAACCCGAACTCAACCCACCACATAGGAATTTAATTAGTGCAACTTCTTTGGAAAACTGGCTTTGCTATAGCTCCACAGCTAGTTTTCCTCCTGACTAGGTAAGGAGCGAGTCCAGCGGGCACTGGAGGACAAAGGAAGGGGGCTGTTCATGGCAGCACTCCCTGCATAATGGCAGACGCAGTATCTTCAGGTGCTGGGATACCATACAGCAGTGAGAAGGAACGAACACTGCCACGTACATGTAATTTTTTTTTTTTTTGGTGGGGTTGGGGATTGAGCCCAGGGCCTTGTGTATGTGAGTTAAGCACTCTACCAACTGAGCTCTATTCCCAGCCCACATACATATAATGTTTGGAAAGAAGCCAGACAATAATAGGGTGCCTTCTAGCTGGATGTGGCGAATCCCAGTAGTTCAGAAGGCTGAGGCAGGAGGATCACAAGTTCAAAGCCAGCCTCAGCAACCTATTGAGGCCCTAAGCAACTTAGCAAAACCCTGTCTCAAAAAGGGCTAGGGATGAGGCTCAGTAGTTGAGTGCCCCTGGATTCAATCCCTGGTAACCGCCCTGCCAAAAAAGAAAAAAAAAAGGGGGTGCCTCCACTATGTACCTTGTAGTTCAGAACAAGCCCAAGTCAGTGGCTGTAAGAGTAAAGGTTGCCTTTGTAGGTGGGGATGGGGTAAGGTGTTGGGGGGGCACACCCCAGGCCTGTTACTAGATCCATATGTTGATTAAACAGGTGGACCTTCTTCAAGACTCTGCAACTTCCTGTAGAGTGCACACCTGTAATCCCAGCTCCTTGGGAGCTAAGGCAGGAGAACCACAAGTTTGAGGCCAGTCAGGGTGGCTTAGTGAGACCTTGTCTCAAAATAAACAAATAAAATGGGCTGGGAGTATAGCTCAGTGGTAGACTGCCCTGGGTTCAATTCCCACTACTGAGAAAGAGAAAGTATGCAACTTTCTATATTGGCATCACAAGATAAAAACTTGACTTAATACCATTATATTGTGTGCATGTACAAATATGTAACAACAAATCCCCCCACCACATACTCACCCTGGAAACCTGGGAAGGCTGAGGCAGGAGGATTGTGAGTTCAAAGCCAATTTCAGCAACGGTGAGGTGCTAAGCAACTCAGTGAGACACTGTCTCTAAATAAAATACAAAATAGGGCTGGATCCCTGGTACACTCCCCCCACCTCCAAAAAAACCCAAAAAACAACAACCTTGAAATGTCTTTAATCCTGGCTTCATGGGGTGCTTCTGGGAAGGAGTTGGGAAATGAGTAATTAAATATGATTACAGAGATTGATGCTGGAGAAGAAAACAGGATGAGGTTTATCAACAACTGCAGGGTGGGAGTAGGCACCTTCTTAGATGTGAAGGCTGAGAAGGGGTCTCCCAGGTGAGGAGGGTGGGCAGCAGCTGGAGGATCTGAGGGACAGTGGGGGCGAGAGGCCAAGCCAGGCCCTGGATGATACAGGGATGGGGGTGGATTTTAAAAGCATTGGGAACCTTTGAAGGTTTTATTATGTGTGAGTGTGTGCGCACGTGCATTTGGACACAGTGTAGGAAAGGCGGAAGCAGACCAGTTAGGAGACTGTCACACCTGCCCAGGTGAGGAGGCTAGTTTGGATACAGCAGTGGGTGGGGCAAGGTACATACAGGAGAAATAGCATGCTTCCGGTTCCATCTCACTTCCTTCCCTGCCTCAAAATCCAGTCTGAGAGAGGGCCACCATCATGACTGGCATAGGGGTCCAGAGTGATTGATTCTTAGGTATCTTTGCCCTGGCTGCAGAAGCCTGGAAACTGCCAAAATAACATTGAATGTGCCAGTTTGGCAGCAGCCTTGGGTCCCAGGTCTAGGCAGGCATACTTTTTTTTTTTTTTGGTGGGACTACGGGTGCTCTACCACTGAGCAACATCCCCAGAGTTTATTTTGGAACAGGGTCTTGCTAAGATACTTAGGGTCTTGCTAAGTTGCCAAGGCAGGCCTTGAACTTGTAATTCTCCAGCTTTGGCTTCCCACATGGCTGGGGCTATAGTTGTATCCCTGCATATGGCTCATACAGGCCTCTTCAAACTGAGGGCTGTGACTCTGTTGTGCCCTGTGAAATCAAATTAGTATATTGCCACTAGTGATTAAAAAAGATCAATTGTCCATGGGTATCATCATCTTAGCTAATATATACTTGAGTGTGTATGTGCTGTTGCAGTGTAAGACCTTTCTCACTGTGGGTTGAAATTAAAAAAAACAAAACAAAAAGAAACCCAAAATTAAAGTTGCTGGGCTTCAGCATCCCAGTCTCTCTCCTCTCCCGAGGCCTCAAATATGTATTTGGGATTTTCTTCTCTCCATTGGCCTTAAGGGTACCAGCTATTTTCAGAACAAGAACATGAGCTAAGCAAGGACATGGCGGGAAAGGAACGCTCATACATTAGTGGTGGGACTGCAAATTGGTGCAACCACTCTGGAAAGCAGTATGGAGATTCCTTAGAAAACTTGGAATGGAACCACCTTTGACCCAGCTATCTCACTCCTTGGTTTATACCCAAAGGACTTAAAAACAGCAAACTATAGTAATGCAGCCACATCAATGTTTATAGGAGCTCAATTCACAAAAGCTAAACTGTGGAAGCAACCTAGATGCCCTTCAATAGATGAATGGATAAAGAAACTGTGGTAGATATACACAATGGAATATTACTCAGCATTAAAAGAGAATAAAATTATGGTACTTGCAGGTAAATAGATGGAGTTGGAGAATATCATGCTAAGTGAAGTTAGCCAATCCCCAAAATCCAAAGGCCAAATGTTTTCTCTGATAAGTGGATGCTGATCCATAATGGGGGGTGAGGGGCATGGGAAGAATGGAGGAACTTTGTATAGGGCAAAGGGGAATGTGGGGAGTGGAGAGGTTATGGGGGTAGGATAGATGGTGGAATGAGATGCACATCATTACTCTAGGCATATGTATTACTGCACGAATGAAGTGACTCTATCATGTACAACCAGAGAAATAAAAAATTGTGCGCCATCTGCGTACAATGAATTGAAATACATTCTACTGTCATGTATAACTAATTAGAACAGAAAAAAAAAGTGAGCTAAAATGTGTGTAAGGCTTCACAACACTTGCACTGATGATCTCTTATCTTCATCAGTCTTGTATGAATAAGAGCAAAGAGACTGACTTCTAGGGACCATGTGATCTTGGGCAAGCAGCTCAAACTCCAGATTTCAACTCCTTGCCATTGAAGCTGGTCATAGGATTGAGACTGTGTGCAAAAGGTTTTAGATAAAAGCAACTGTCAGCTCCCCTGAAGGAGGAGGAAGACAAGTGGCCGAGGAGCCCTGGGCCCGCATGGGAGGAAGCCAGGACTGTCCAACTCCATCCAAACATCCTGAACAGGGCCGCCATCACCCAGAAGAGTGCACACATTCAGTACACAGACCAGCAGATCTAATGCCTTCCACGCACTTTCTCACTCAGTTTTCCCAACTCTCCTGAAAGGCCAGTACTGTTGTACCTGCTCTAGGTCACAGCTCCCAGCAGTGAAGACGGGGTGTAGCTCTACAGCTTGAATTCTTGTCCCTGAAACTTTCTCACCTCTTGGCCCCATCCTCGATGGTCTCTCCTTCTTGTACTTTGCCCCCGAAGCCATTCCAACGGCCAGCCCCAAAGCCCCGCTTCTTCATGCCCAGAAGAACGCGCTGCGGCTGCAGTACCAACACCAAGGTATAGAGCCTGGAGGCCACCATGGTCCACTGGGGCTCTGTGAGGAAGGCAAGAAGCTAGAGTCAGCTCTCACTCGAGTGTGGACAGGGTGCGGACAAGGCATGTGTGCTACAGTGGTCAGGTGCAAAGGAAATGTCCTTTAGGAGGCAGGAAGAAGAAGTGTGGCAGCAGGTGCAAACCTGTCTTTGAATGAATGATTTTCTGGGTAGAAAGAGGGCTGGCCCTCAGAACCCAGTGGTATCAGTGCCAGGCCCTGTGCTTACCAGGGCTGGTTAGAGGAAGGTCACATATTCCCTTCCCCACTTGGCACTCTTAGCTAGAGGACAACAAATTTCAAGGGCTGGGTCCTTACTCCTGGGTCTTCTCCAGGAACCCCAAGCTGTAGGCACAGGAGGGCAGATCAGCCCCCACCTCCAATACCATGCCATTTGTTCAGGGGCTCTCATGCCAGGCTTCAGCCTTGGCCTTTTCATCAGCAGGGGCTCCTTCTAGATTGCTGGGACCTGGCTTCAGTCTCTGCAGCAGCAGGCCTCTGGAAAGGAGTGGCCTGGCTGGTCTTCCTTCCTGTGACAGGAGTTTATGTCCTACTTATTCTGCTTTTAGTGTTGTTGTGGTGAGATCTGGCATCCAGAGGACACTGGGAGATACAAGTGCCTTTCCTATTCCAATAGGAGTTTTTGGTTTCAGGGAAACACCTGTTGTTTCTGAGAGGGCCTCTGTGGGAGACAGGACCCTGGAGAAATTCAGGAGGACTGGGACTAAGTTTCCTTCAGCTCTGTCCCTATTCGGGTCTAGGAACACGTGGCCAGAGCTGGATTCAGAACCAGCTTGGAAGTCATAGTATCTAAGTAAAGGGACTAGGGGTTGTTCATGGGTGGGGCCAGTCAAGCAAGGGAAGTGGGCTTGTGGCTGGGCTTCCCAGGAGGCCAGTATCCTTCGTTCTGTCATGGACCTATGCATGAACGAAGGCCTGGCTTCTAAAGCAACTCTGATAATGATAATTGATGGCAATTCCAGCTATCACTTATTATGCAATGATTATGTACAACCGTATTTCTGTATGGGTGGGGGATTAGATCTAGGGACCCTTCAGATAACAAAAAATCCAAGCATTCTCACACCCCATAGGTAAAACAGTATATTTGCTAGCTAGGCCTGGTGGTGCATGCTTGTAATCCCAGCGGCTCAGGAGGCTGAGGCAGGAGGATTGCGAATTCAAAGCCAGCCTCAGCAAATTGAGGTGCTAAGCAACTCAGTGAGATCCTGTCTCTAAATAAAATACAAAATAGGGCTGGGGATGTGGCTCAGTTGTCAAGTGCCTGAGTTCAATCCTCAGTAACCCCCTCAAAAAGAACAAAAAACCCCCAGTATACTTGCATATAACTATGCACATCCTCCTGCATACTTTATGTCATCTCTGGATGACTTACAATTCCTAGTACAATGTAAATGGTATGTTATACAGGGGATTATGGACAAGATAAGTCTGTATATATTCAGTAGGGATGCAATTATGTTTTCTGAATATTTTTTTGTCCACTGGTTGAATCATCTGATGATGAACCCAAGGCCTCAGAGGTCTGATTATAGTTATTTTCAAAAACTAAACCTCTTAATAGACCCAACAACTCTATTAAGATTTGAATTCTGCATTTTCAGAGGTGGAAACAAGCTCAGTAAAGCTAAGTTTGATCCAAAGTCAAATAGCAGAGCCATTAACCATACCTGGATCTACCATCTAGTGTGTCACTATCTAGTGTGTCCACAGCTCCCTAGCAGTTAATCTGAGGAGTCATCAGGGGCTCCCTAATGTCAGAGGCTGGGGTGCTGGCACTCCACAGGTGGAGTTGGAGGTCACCTGTAAATCAGGTTGTTATCAGGGCTGCAGGAGATGCACGTGCGGCGCAGTGCTCAGTCTTGCATGAAGTAGGTTTGGCAAATGCTCGTTCCCCAGCCTTCCCTTTCAGAGGCTGTGCGGAGTATTGGATTCCGGACACCGGGTCCTCTCCGCAGCCCATACCTACCGGACCTCTGGGCCCAGTTCACCCCGTCAGGACCCCCATTTCCCTCCTCTAGCGCCCCTGTGTTCTGTCTTGTTCTCCCCTAGGCCCCGCTCTCCTGGCCTCGCCCATCTCTCCGACTCCAGTTCTCCTCATCTTCCCCTCTCCTCGTTTCCCGGTGCTCCCGGCTGCCGCCTCCCCAGGTTTCTCCCGCTTCTATTCCTTGTAAGCCAATCCTACCCGCGCGCCGTTCCCGACCGAAAAGGCGGGGCCTGGACCGGAAGTGGGACAGTGATTTCCGGTAATGAGCGGAAGTGGCAGGCAGACTCCCATGGCAGGGTGAGTGGGGAAGAGTGTTCAGCCTTTGCTTACGGGGCGCTTGCTGCATGCGTGCAGGGAGGCGGGAGAGGTGGGAGCCCTCAGTTTCCTCATCCGAAAAGGGGAGCTGGTCCACCCCCGGCCCGGCATTCGGGTCTCTAGGACGAGCGATGGACCCCAGCCTGGGGCTCCGCAGACCTGATCCCCAGCTCGCGGACTAGAGTACCCGACCTGGGAAGAGGCAGGTAGAGGCTGGAGAGGCAGGTGAAACCACTGCAGCCTCTAAAGACGTGGCACAGAGCTTCCAAAAAGCAAGGGGGCCTGTATAGCTAGAGTCCAGCGCATGGGATGGGGTTGGAGAGGTCAGATCCCCAAATCAGTTTGACTCGGGGTTTGTGGGGGGAACCTCACTTCGTTGGCCCGTGAGACACCACTATCCATCTCTTCTCTGTGCTGAAATTATTTCTGGCACCTTGGATGTGTGTGTCATTTCCCCACGAGATCCCCTAAGCCATTTGAAGCCAGGATTCTTTATTCCCCAGTCCTGTCCTCAAATCTTGTCAGCACACCTTGGTGTTGAAGGAGCTCTGGCCTCAGAGCTGTGAGAATAATAAAACCTCTTTTTCCATCAGAGAAATGAATAGAACAGTAAAAAAGAAATGAAGTAATGAATATTAAGAATGTTTTGAGAGTTAAGCAAGGGGGAGTTATATATAGCTCCTGTTATGCCAAGCTACTTTTTATGTGTTAAAAGCATAACTTTTTGGGGTCGGGGTTGTGGCTCAGTGGTAGAGCACTAGCCTAGCATGCATGAGGCAGTGGGTTCAATTCCTGGTACCACATAAAAATAAAAACAAATAAAATAAAGGTATTGTCCATCTACAACTAAAAAATATTTGAAAATAGTAAAAGAGTGTAAGTTGTTGAAAGAATCTTGGAAATTATCCTTTAGTCATCCACACAGTTTGGGTTCAGTCTTAAGAAATGTGCAGGCCTGACTTGTGCTAGAGGTGACAGGCAGGAACCTGTCCTCATGGGGTTTTCTTGCAGTTTTTTGCAGAGCACTGTGAAAATTTGGGCCAGACAAGAAAAGAATAATTTTCATTATTATTATCAATATTGTTAACCAGTACTGGAAAAGTTTGGGTTGTCAGAAAGGAGGTGATTATCATTGTGTTTATTTTTCTTCTGAGAAAATCTTTGGGGGAGAACACTAACTGCCTGGGTACGATGATGCACACTTGTAATCCCAGCAGTTTGGGAAGCTGAGGCAGGGAGAATTGCAAGTTCAGAGCCAGCTTCCTCAACATAGTGAGGCGCTAAGCAACTTGGTGATAACCCTGTATCAAATTAACAAAAATAATAAAAAAAAAATCAGGGCTGGGGATATGTCTCAGTGGTTAAGCAACTCTGGGTTTAATCCCTGCTGTGAATAAAAAGAACAAAACACTTCCCCAGGAAAGTTTGCTCAGCTGTTGTAATTTAGTATGCAGACCAGGTAGCTTAAGCACAGCCACTTATTTATCACATCCTGGAGGCTGGAAGCCTGAGATCAAGGTGTGGGAAGGAAGATTTCTCTTGAGGCTGCCTCCTTGGCTTACAGATGTGGTTCGCTCTTTGTGCATGTCTGTATCCTAATCTCATAAAGACACCAGTCAGATAGGAGTAGGATCCACCCCAGTGATCTCACGGGGTGGATTATGTTCTTACAAATCTCATCTCCAACTATAGTCATGTTCTGAGGTCTTGAGAAACATGGGTTTGGGGAAATGCAATTCAGCTGATGACACCTCTTTGGCTGTGTGGGCTTGTCAAGTCACCTCTCCTCTTGGGCCTTAGTGCGTCCACTCTGAAAAGGAGTGAATTGAGCCAGGGCCCCCCTCTGCACCCGTGACATCCATCTGATGCCATCATTCTTCCTCCTTTTTCTCCAATTAGGTGCTTGAAGCTGGCGTGTGCTTCCCTCCAGCGTCAGGGCTTCCACACTGCAGGGTGTTACTACAAGGGCCGGACAGGTGCTGAGCACCTATGGCTGAGTCGGCATTTAAAGGACCCCTTTGTGAAGGCTGCGAAGGTGGAGAGTTACCGCTGTCGAAGTGCCTTCAAGCTTCTGGAGATGAATGAGAGGCATCGGATTCTGTGGCCTGGCCTCCGTGTGTTGGACTGCGGGGCAGCTCCTGGGGCCTGGAGTCAGGTGGCAGTGCACAGCGTCAATGCCACAGGCAGAGGTGGGACCCCCACGCTCCTGTTAGCACTTTCTGATCACAAGTCTGAGGGAAAGAAAGTGAGTTGTTTCCTGCTGTGGACACAGCAGTTGAGCCATTTCCTGAAGGCACATACTTCTGAGTGGATTGATTAGTAGTGGTAATTGTAAAATCAGAATACTGACCTTTTCAAAGTGAAAGACAAAGTGGAAAGGTATAATGAAAATCACCACAAATTATATCAGTTGGGTGTACAACATATTGGTGTACACCCTTCTGGAGTTTGTTTTTGTATACATGCCTACATAACTACTTTCTTACATTTTGAGAAATTATGCCATGTTTTTCTTGCTAGTTTGAGTCTTAATGGAGTTTTTTTTTCCACTAATGATATACTGACATCTTTCCATGGCAGTACAGCTGAATCAACCCCAGAGGTTTCTAAGTCCTGTTCCTGCAGCCTGAGGGTTTCATGGAGGTCCCAGGGGGGACCCTCTAGGGCCTCAAGAAAGGCTTCGTGGCCAAGGCTCTGGATTCTCCACTTTGGGTCAACCTGAGGACTCAGCGTTTTTCTTTTAAATTTTAGGGTTTTTGACAAAGATTTCTTTGACAGTTTCTATGTTAGGAAAGAGATAAAACAGTCACCCATACAACTTTAAAATGTAATGTTGGGACCTCCTAATAACTGATTTTAGTGATTTCTATTCCCCTGATGGCTTTCCAGAAGGATGAAAATGGCTCAGTTTAACTTGTAGGAAGAAGTGACAGGGCAAAGAATGCAAGGGTGACCTGAGCTTTCCTTCTCATTGTTGCAAAATTGCAACCAAAGCTGTTTACTTTCTGTGGAAACTTCCTAAGGCTATAACACATGTGCATGATAAAGGAAAGAAAGGTCAAGAATGTCAACTGAGATGTGAGGTGTCCCCCTTTCCTGGGCTGAAAATAGTGTTTTCACTTTTAAAAAGTGAGGTAGTCTTCAAAATTCTAATTTTATCTAGAAATAAAATGCATATCCTCCCTGTTCTGAGTTTTATTAAGCAGAGTAAACTTGAAAATCTGTGATTATACCCTTAATTTATCAACACTTAGCAACAGAGCTGAGATCCTCTGCAGTGCCACAGGGATGAGGAACAGACATGTGGAGCGGGGGTCTTTGTATATGGGGACAGCATGGGAGGAGGAGATGGAGGCTGAGAACAGGAGTAGGCAGGAAGTCTTGTTTCAGGTTAGGTGAGGCTGCTATCTTTTTTGTTTTATAAAACCTTTTTTTTTTTTTTGTTTTACAAGTAGTATTCCTCAAATATGGTCAATTTTTGTGTCAATTTTTGTGTCTCATTTGAAATCTGTTCATTTTTCCCAACTCTGGCTTGTTTCCAGTGGTTTCTACATTGAAAGCAAATGGCTTAAGTTGTAGATGGATTTATTGATTTTAATCCAGAGGCACTTTATGTACTGGTGTATCAGAATCTTTTCTTTTATCAAAAAGACCACCAAGGAAGTCAGGCACGGTGGTGCACACCTGTAATCCTAGAGGCTCAGGAGGCTGAGATGGGAGGATCACAAGTTGAAGGTCACTGTCAACAATTTAGAGAGGCCCTAAGCAAATTATAGAGACCCTGTTTCAAAATAAAAAATCAGAAAGAAAGGGCTGGGATGTAGCTCACTGGTAAAGTGCCCCTGACTTAAGTCCTCAGTACCAAAAAACAAAAGAAAACAAAATAAAACCCCACCACTAAGGAGAATCCTTTCACAGAGAGTGAATTTGAGGCAACATTCCAAAAGCAGGAAGAGAAGACCTGGCTGTGGCCCCAGCTGTGCCCGTGACTAAGGATGACTGGCCTCAACTTCCTCAGCTGCCAAGTGAAGGACTGCCCACTGCCCTCTGCCCTCTGTGTGTCTCCATAGGCTGTTTGCATAGTGGGAGGGCTCCTGACCACATATGCACATCTATTCTTTTCCTTGGTCCTAGTGTCTTTATTTTGTGTTTCTATGGAAAGATTTAGGATGTAAATAACATATCTACTGTTCCTTCCATAGATTCCAGCTCTCCTGTTGGCTTTGTGCTTGGGGTGGATCTTCTTCACATAACTCCCCTGGAAGGAGCAACTTTTCTGTGCTCTGCTGATGTGACTGACCCGAAAACCTTGCAGAGGATCCTAGAACTGCTTCCTGGGGGGAGGGCAGATGTGATTCTGAGCGACATGGCACCCAATGCCACTGGGATCCAGGAACTTGATCATGACAGGCTTATCGGCATGTGCCTGTCACTTCTGGACATGGCTTCAGTTGTCCTGCACCCAGGGGGAACACTGCTTTGTAAGACCTGGGCTGGAAGTCTAAGCCAGCAGTTTCAGAAGAGATTGACAGAGGAATTCCAGAACACAAGAACTGTGAAACCCATGGCCAGCAGGAAAGAATCATCAGAGGTGTACCTCTTGGCCACACAGTACCGTAGAAGGAAGGGCTCTGTGAAGCCATGAGAGGTCCTGCCATTCTTAAATGGATGCTGGGTCTTTTTAAACTGTGGATGTGGCCTGAGTGCTT